ATTTTTGTTACCTAAGTACCAGTGGCTTTCTGAGCTGACACCTCAGCAGTCTCTTCAGCTAGGTAAAGCTTCCTGATTTCAGTTTTGAAACTGAAACAAGTGAAACCACAAGTTACACCCTTCTGGGGTAGCCACAGAAAATAAATACTTTAAGGATTTATTGAAGGGAAAAAAAGGCTTTGCTGTTGACTTCAAATGAAAAACATATGGCAAGGAGAGCATTTTGTTGTTGTTTTTGTTCCTTCTGCTGTTGTCAGGAAGCACCTTTTTCCAGGGAGATGGTCACAAATAAAATTGCCAAAGGTATTCCCTCTCTTTCCTCCATTAAGAGTAATTTCTTACAGATGGATATTAGCCTGCTCTGTGCCATTATGCTGGTGAGAGCTCTTCATTTGAAACTGAGCTTTTTCATTCTCTCATAAAAATTATGCATCTGCTTTGCAGCTTTTTGATCTAGATGCCTTTTGCCTGTTTTCATTTCTTTCCAATAGAATTTCCTGTTTATTCATGAATTTACTCAGAAATTTCAGACTTACACAAAGATACTTCAATAATTCTTTTCATTTTGATTACTGTTTTTAAGCCTTACAGTTCAATTTACAGGGTAATATTTTTAATTAAAAGCACAATGAAGGGTTTGTTTTATATGTACTCTCAATGGTTTTTAATTACATCAATGCTTTTGATCTTTTACTGTTGGCATAAGTTTATTTTCTTAGCAGGAAGTGTTTTTCAATATTACCTTTCACATATGGTACTATAGAGTCTGATTTAACACTAGACTCCAGTTGAAAATGATTCAATAAAAAAGGAAATTAACTCTGAAATGGGATATAATGTGTCACAGATTGCTGTTTTCTGTATCTTTGTATACTGTAAGAACTATTTCATATGTTGCACTTCTGGCACTACTCCAATATAAAGTAACATTGTTTAGGTTTTAAGTAAGAAATACTGGTTTGTGGTCACTGTGGTATTTGCTATAGGGAACTAATTTTGATTTGAGGGTAACGAAATATGAAGTGTCTCACTGGTTTCCAGTAACAAAAGCATAACCTGTGTTCTGAAAATTCCAGCCCAAAAATGAGCAAGTAAATCTATTACTATCTAATGCTTAAAAAGAGAAAGACTTTATGCAGAACTATAAACTAGCTAAAGAAGCAAAGGCTGTTCAAAATAGGAGGGCTGTGATCTTCAACTAACATAAAAGAGCTAGGTTGAGTGATTCACAAAGATGTGGTTTTAAACTACATATGTTCCATAGAGTTCTTGCACATTTCCCCAGATGAGAGAAATTCTCATCTGGAGGCCCTATCCCTTTAAAGCAGATGGTTCCACATCTGCAGTCAGCAGAATCTGGGCTGGGGCTAGCAGTGTATACTGCAAGGATGAGAATACATCATACCATGAAGGAAAGTGAAGCAATCCAGGACCTCTCAGGTTTCACAGCCTCTAATCAAGCAGAACTACACATTCAGGCACAAAAATAGCCAGTAGACAAGTACAGGCAGTGTTGCTTGAGCTCTGACGTGGAGTGTGAGCCAAGTAGCTTTCTCCCTTGCTCCCGTGCCTTCCACACTATTTTTCCTTATGCTGGAAAATCTGAAGACTCAAGAGAACTTTAATTCAACTATATTTGGTTCAAAATTTCTACTTTTTTCAATGCTGCAAGTAAAATAGTCTTTTCTTCAAGCTTAAAGCTTGATGTCTAAGCCTCTGTTTCTCCCTAAATTTAATAGGTTTTTTTTCCATGTGATTATTTGTATATTTCTGTGTTCCTTAATGTCTGTTGGGGAATTAGACATGACATCTGCAAGCAATCTGATCTCATTCTTTTCATTAATTCTGGCTAATATTCATCAAGCTGAAGTGAGAAGTTTCTTTCTGCTGACTCTTGTGTTTTCAGAGACTGAGTTCATCAGATTACAGTTGTATTTCTAAAACTGAACAATTTCATAAACAAGAGTTGGCAAATCAAGGTGCTTAGAGATTGAGACTGGTTGATTTGTGTCTAGAATTTAAATATTTTCTGTCTGTTACCTAAGGTATTGCTTTCTTGGTATTTTATGTGTAATTTTTTTTTAAAATGCTGTGGGTGGCTATTAGGGAATATTTCTGAGAAATTTGTCATGAGCATTTGGTTGTTCAGACACGCTGATTGGCATGACCATGCAGACAGAAAGTATACACATTGTGCTATTTTTACTCTGAATTTTACTCTCTCTCTCTCTGTTGCTAGATAGGTTTAAGTGCTTATTCTATAGTCTATGACTGTGAGCTAGCACTGAAGGACTAAATGTAGTTTTTGTAGTTTCTTTAGTGAGAAATTAGGATGATTTTTCACCCTGGTATCAACCATAGGCATGTGTGTATATATTTATGCACTACGTTCTGTTGTTTGTGGCAACTTCTGTACTTCATTGTGGCAGTTTGATTTTGCCTATGGGTTTTTGCAGTGTTGGCATGTAATTCTTGCCAGGGCAGCTTCTTCTGGCATTCAGTTCATAGAATTAAGGTTTTGCCATCCTTGCAATATGCCATTTATCTTGTTAGTCCTTCTGTGGCCATGGGAGTTGTGTACCTGAACCTGCAGGACTTTTGTTTCAATGCTTTTTTACAAAATTACATTATTTGGGCTTATACTTTTCCTGTGTTAACTAGGGCACAGTGGCTGGTGGAGCTGGCTTGACAAGTTGAGCAGAATGGTAAGAGGGATAGTAACAGCATTATGTTTTGACATCTCTTCAAAGTTGGAATGCTTCTGCTGTTCCAGCAACAATGCTTTAATTTCCCAAAAGATGAACTGGCTTTTGCCACCCTCTGTACGGGCAATCGTGATGCATAAACTCTACTGGTTTGTTAATATAAACTATTTTCCAAATATCTGCTCCTGCATCCTGACAAATTCTCATATTCTGCAGGATGGCATAGGAAGGGAATAGACAAGCTCAAATGTCTGTGTTTGGTGAAAGTGCTGCTGCATCGCCCTGAGACATGGGTTTCATAGTTACTCACCATTCCAGGTGACAGGGGCCTCCACTAGAAGTGAGAGATGCCCAGTGCAGTGAGCTCCAGCCTCAATTTACTGAGACAACATGGAACTTTTCAATAGATATTTATAGATAAATATCTATTGAAATATAAATATTGAAATAAATATCTATAAATAGATTTATTTTCAATAAATATTTATTTATGACTGTTGCCAGTCTTAACTATGAGATGGGCTTTAAGGTCAGGGAAGGTTTTCAAGCCTTCTTGAGACATTTTGAAATTACCTTGGTCTGCAGCCTGTTGAAATACTTGGAGTTTTCCTGCTTGCCATGACGTGAGGCTTTGCTCACAGTGCTTGGGTAGCCATGGAGTGAACAACTTGTATGCTGCTTTTATTTCTTAGCTGAATGCAGCATGTATACAGAAGTTCCTGTGAAACCACTGGTGGTTTGTGTTGGAACAAAGCAGAGGCAATGGATTGTGTAACTTGTATCCTAAGAATTCAAACCAATTTGATATTTTCTTCTACTTGTAACTTTACTTGGCGTGAAATTTAGATTCTAGTGATATTCTGTTGTCTCCAATGCTTGAATCATCAAATTATTTCAACAGGTGTAATTTGTTTATTAGATACTGTGGCTAATCATAATTGACTTGTGTTTTTCAGCTTGCTGCAAAACAGTTCTGTACAATCATCTGGTGATCAGCAATGCAATAACATTTGGATTTTATTTTTTTTACAGGAACCACACTGTCAAATACTGTCATACCAACCTGTCAAAACTGCAGTTCCTTGTGAAATGGTAAGCCAAATGCAGAAGCTCCAGCACTGAAAGGGGGAAATCCCAAATCCCTTACACCTCACCTCTACCTCTCCCTCTTATTTTGTGGCTGTGTATTCCCATTGCTTGCCTGGTTTTGGCCTCAGCAGTCTGATACATCCCTGAGCTTTAGCTTGCTCAGACCACAGGTTGTTTGGACAAGTATTTTTCTACCACTTTAGTAAGGTTTTGTGGGTCAGTGAAGGTTCCAATGAGCAAGAGGGAGGGAGAAGTACATGCTCCTGAGAGATAGATGCAACCTGTTTGTCAGAGAAATTTGGGTGCTTGTCAGTGCAGCACAAGCACCAAACACCCCATCTTAAAATTTTCAAATACGATAATTTTAGTCATCTTTTAGAGCTGTTAATGGGATATCTCCTGCCTCACTGCACTCATTTTTGTCTAGGTACACATACATAATGGTTGTATAGATTTGACAACCTTTTTGTATCATTCAGTCACTGAAATTCAATTTATATGGCAAGTCAGTTACCTCAGACGATACAACTGACTTTCCTGATTAAGACAAAGCATTTTTAATAGTTTCTTATTTTTCAACTTGCCTATCCAATTAAAAATACATTTATTGTTAAGCACACCTGAAGAATCTTCACAAGAACAAGTAATATAGCAGCCAAATTTACAGTCATTTTCAAAATTCTGCGTCTTGTATTAATATGCTTACTAAAATACTTCTGCTTAGTCAGCCATAAGAAAATTACTCAAATTTTTATAAAAATGAACCAACTGTTGATCAGCAATCATCTACTTGGCCGATGAAATTTGAGGGTAATAAAAAGCTTTGGTAATGCAAATGTTTGGTGTTGATCCTGCTTAAGATTTGCCTAAAAGAGGGGGAGTATAAGCATAAGCAATGAACGGGGATTGTGTTCCTGGGATTTGGAACTCAAATAGAAGGCTGACAAAGAATGTAGTGGCAAACAAGGATAGGAATATATATAGATATATATATTCTGACCTATTTATTACAGATGTAAACTCAGTGGGGAATTAACTGATGGAGAAGGTAAAGGACACAGTTTTTCTAGCAGAGGTGTATGAAAACCAAGTCTTTAGAAATTTGAATCAGAAACAAGACCGTAATTGTGAGGACTGAAATGGGATTTTGCAATTTAATGCAAGCATGGATTACAAATTTTGACTTGGCTGTTGGAAAATGTTAAAATGCCGCCCTCTGATTTGTTGAGATTGTCACCTGCAGATACGGTTACTGCTTCCAGTTTATTGGACTGGTACACGTACATAAGCGTTAAGGAAGAAAGAACGACTGTGAAGAAGAGTTCCGATGGATTTGCATACGCGTGTTAGTGATCGCCCCGGACACGGCGTGGGCCCAGAGGGCAGTCCCGGGCCTGCTGCCTCTCCTGGGCGGGGCTGCCTCCGTCAGATCCCGTGTGCAGGGAGGA